CCATGCCCCCAGCCCCCAGGACGCTGCAGGGCCGATGTGCTCCCGCCCGCAGCCCCTGCGCGGCTGCGCTCCTGCTGCGGCAGGGACACTTTGTCACTACAGGGCTGTGGACTGGGGGGGTGCCCGCAAGAGAGATGTGGGAGCCCTTAGAGCAACCCAGCAGCTGACAGACTCTCATCTCTGGCTCTGCCTTCGATTTGTATGTTGGCTCCTGTTTGCACTTACCGGCTTTGAGTGGTTTTTAATTATTGATGCCTCTTTTAGCTTTTATCTCATGCTCACTGCAGCCAGGAAGGGCTTGGCATTCGTGCATTAGTGATGAATCGGGAAGGAGGCCCTGCTCCACCGCACTGCAAAGCATTCCTGGCTTGCAGGCTGTGCCATTGTTTCAAGCAAAGCTGCGCTGAAAAATGAGGAGGGTGGGAGCAGGAGGGGGATGTGGTGCGGGCAATTCCCGCGGCTGCCACAGAGGCGACAGGAATCTGTCCTATGGGAAAAAGCTGAAGGGGATGGACCGAGAGTCAAACAGGTGTGGAAATCTCCTTCATCCAGTGAAAAACTGGCACCCGCTCACCTCGTCGAGAAGGAAAAATGCCATTTTATGACCCCTCCAGTGACAGGCGGGTGGAAGGGGAAGAGATACGAGACAGCAGTTTTGCCAAGCCCCTGGCAGATGCAAGCAGGAATCGATGTCAAACCGGCTGCTCTGTGGTCAGGGCACGGCGCTCTGACGGCCGGGGTCCTGCCGCTGCCCTCCGGACTTGGCCAGCTCTCCACCCGCCACAGCTGAAAGCTCTTTGGACAGTGGGACAGTGACTGTACAAGGTTGCTCTCTATCCTCCCTTGAAGAGCGCGGGCTTTGCCGAGTTTCCCAAGGATCTCTGTGCCAGGAGAGCTGGTTCTCAGCCCATCTGCGTATGTACCTCTCCCACTCTTATACCACAAGCTCTCATGGGTTTCTCTGCCAGGAGCCAGTCTTAAATGATCCCTGATCAGCAGAGCTTTGGAGGTGCCACATCACCCGCTTCTCACGAGCGTTGAGCGTCCTGCCAGGGCAGGAGAGGGGCTCGTGGGTCTAGTTGTGAGAGGGGTTACAAGGCAGAGCAGCCCGTTTGGAAGGAGAGAAGCTGTTTCCTCAAGGCTGCAGCTACTGGGAGAGTCATGAAGGACGTGGTTTTAACCTGTTTTTTTTTGCTGCTGGTATGGGTTAGATTTGCAGGTTTTCCTGTGCAGTTAGATTTGAGCCCAAATCTGGTGAGGTGCCTTATGAAATGACCCCCTTTGGAGATCCAGAAGCAGATCCAGCAGTTGAAAACAGAGCTAGGCTGGAAGCATGAAGAACTGCAGCACTACTTGTCCATGGGATGGGATATCAGGGTGCCTCCCGCCACCCAGAGAAATGCTTTGGGTGCAAAGCCAGCACACTTCAGGAATGGGTCACCGGGGGAAGCAGGAGTGGAGCACAAGGTTCAGCTCAGCATCTACTGGGAGGTGCAGGGGATTTGGAGAGCCCAAAAGCTCTGTCTTTATACTTTATAGTGGGTTAATCTCCCGCAGAGAGCAAAGAGATATCCACAGCCCGGTCAGGAACAGCTCCCCGGCCCCAGTCTGCTGGAAGCTGAGGATGCTCAGCCAGCAGCCTCATGGTTTGTTCGACCCCTTGCCCACCGAACCAAGGCTGCTAATTAGCTCTAACAACAGGGACGTCTGTTCCTCTGAAATTGCCAGCCTGAAAACACCCCTGACCAGTTTCTCCTAAATCCTCCTCCCTTGCACATCCATCAGGAATAACATCCACTTACGGTGCTCCCTACCCCCCGGCAGAGTTTGAACCAGTGACCTCGAGGTGAAAGCGCTTTCAAAGCTCCGGCGCTGCCCACGGCCAGCCCGCTCCCAGCGGGGTCCTCGGCAGCACTTACAGAGCAGAGATGGGTTTAGCAACTGCCGCGTCGCAGCAGCCCCTGGCTCAAAGCTGTGTTGGCCTTTCACATCAGAGACCCCCTCACCCGGCGCCAGGGAGGCGTTCGGAGCAGCTGCGAGACCACTGGGTCAGGCTGCAGCTATAGGCAGAATTTCAGCCAGCTCCTGACCAGGAGCCCCATGCAGTGCTGGGGGGGACACAGGCATGGGACCTGCCTGCCCGGTGCTCTGGCCCCCCAAGGGTGCTGAGGTCAGGCCAGCCCCTGCCATGCAGCAGCAGCTCTGCTCTTGCCACAGGCTCTGCGCTCTGTACCTGCCCCATGGTGGCCGAGCAGCAGCCGGCCAGCCGGTGGCAACGGCAGCGTCAGGAGCACCAGGCCCCGCACAGGGCACCTGGCTTGGCAGGGGCAGGTCTGAGACCCCCAGGCAGCCCTGCAGAGTCCCACCCAGCAGCCGGAGTTCAAAGACTACCCTGGGAGCTGTGATCCTCCGCAGACCCTCCTGGTCCCTTGCGAGTCTGGCCCGGGACCCAGCCATCCCCCAGTTTGCGCTGGCGACGTGTCACGGGCAGATACGCGAGCATCGTCAGACCCTCGCGCTGCTCACAGGCTCTGTAACCCACCTGAGGCTGCAGCCCGGCTGTGCCAGGCTTGGCCGGTGCTTCTGGGACAGTGGGACATGGGACTGAGCCGCACACCAGTCCCTCCATGCCCTCTTTGCTGCAGGCTGGGCCACACCAGAAGAAACCCATCAGAAGCAGCGCTGGGGAAGCGGCCGAGCAGAGCTGCAGCCCCGGCGGGCTTTCATGCAGTACCGGGCACCTTTCCTCAAGCCTCTCCCACCCTGCTCCCGCTGCAGATGACGCTGCCTCAGCCAAAGCACCCCCACTCTGGAGCCAGACCTGGTCCCAGACCCGAGCCGGTTCAGC